TTAGAAGCTCGTCGGCGAGTTAATCTGTCTTTGGTCGACCCTAAACAGATCGAAAACAGGCTCGTGCCAACACGCCTCAGCGTCTGATCCAGCCTTGGACCACAGGCCACGTAGAACCAATAAAAGAAACTTCGAGAATATTGCCTTGAGCCATTTGGTGTTTGCCTGAGATCCGTAACCCACCAAGGCTTTGGGTGGCTGCGGTCATGTGCTCGGCCAGTTAGGTACATCAGTCGCGTAAAATTGAAGCTATCGTGAATGAGTCTTCTGATGATCGGGTCCATACCCTCGCGCCCCAGGGACAGTGAGGAAATATTCCTTATAGAACATGAACGCAAAATACTAAAGAAGTTGAGAGAGCATTAGAACTAATCAACCCGGGGGTATACTCATTCGCCGGTCAAGAACACCCGAATTCAAAAGGCTTGTAGCCGCTCAGGCTATATCCGACAAACCAGAATGCCTGGTACGTACCTTGATAGTAACTTGCGCTATATGCACCATTTAGTGATGACTAGGTACTGTATAGTTCACTTTCAGCGGACAAAACAGCATGATAGAAAAGTTATTAAAGAGTACAAACTACTTCAATACAGACGCAATCCCAGCCTTGGATTCTGTGAAGATACAAAGGCGTTCTGAAAGATACAAATGATACGCCTCTTACCACGAGTATCATCCGTAAAACGACCGAAAACCGTATCAAGTGGTGAAATGAGTCAATCACTAGTAGAGTATCTCAACAAGCTTTTTTTTTTTTTTTTTTTTTTTTTTTGTGTGTGTATCTTGGAAACTATACCGCCTCGGTCAAACATATCATGGACTGGCTTCTAATAAGAATCAAATTAGCCTTTACACTTTCTAATACCTTGGCCAGGACAGATGTTTATTGTTATAGTTTGAGAGAGTGTTGTAAAAGGGCCGCGTGGCGATGGCTGCTAAAAGAGTATATAAAACCAGCGTTCTCGTAGGCCCTCTTTGAAAATCCAACCATCTTACATTCTCTGCATCTCTCTCTGTTTTGCATCTCGAAATCACTTGAAGATTAAGAGTTCTATCGAAACGGCAGACGCAATGACGTACGATTCCTGGGATTCCACTCCGGATATTGGAGAAGACATCAGTATCTTATTGGCGACAGCTTGTCCATTTGGTAAGGACTCCCGCAATGGCTTTCCATACCGAGGTTCAGATACCTAATGCCTCATAGTCCTTTATACCTGTGTCTTTGTCTTTGGCATCCTGCCATTTTGCACCGTCTTGTACTTGACGACGCACCAGCACAACGGTACGACACACTTCATCCCTTTATTGGCTTCAACTGACCTAACGCATATCTAGCATCCATAAGAGGCTTTGAATACTACCAGTACGCGCAAATCCATTTGCTCGTGATTCTCTTCTTTACAGACCTCGCCTCCATCAACGTTCTCGCGATGTGTATATCGAAGCGAGTGCCATTCATGCTGCCAATCATCGCCGCAGATGTTTGCCTGGTGCCGTACGTGTGCGGCTGTATGTTGGCGCACCACATGAGCTTCATAACTTTCCCACGAGTACATTCCGGGCCTCGTTATCTGTTGCCAGAAGTTGTATTGGAACAGCTACTACACAACAGACGCCAACAGGAGACTGATTGGGAAGAAGGGGGAAGCCAGGCCACCACCCTATTCTGTGATGACTGGTATGATGAGCAAATAGACCATGATGGGGACACTGAGCCGCTGCTACAAGAATGGCTAGCCGAGCAACAGCGACTGAACCAAATCGAGGATGACGATGCTAGCGAGAATGCGGAACTGACAATCTCAGAGTCTTCCACTGTGAATCCCGAAATGGATATTTGGTTCATCAATGGTGACAGCGGATATGGCAGCGAGGACTCTTCGTTAGTAGCCGTAGCCGATCCATTTCTATTGCCGGCGGCTATATCGGACTAGATGATTGGACTGATTTGTTGCACGTCTTCAGAATATAGTTAAGCTGGCGTTGGCGTATGGTTTGGATACGGTTTGGAAAAAACAATGATATTACATTGATACCCCTATGGATTATATAACGCTGAAATACGCTGCTTTTGAATGTACATTTAATTAAATACAGCGAGAAATGCATGGACTTTATAAATATTCACTAAACTACCAAGCAGACGTAGGCTCATGAACACTTCTATTGAACACGGACCGCTGCCAGTTCTTTGCCAATCGTTTTAAGCCCCTTATAGTATGCATAACTACCTACCTTATTCTGGGAATCATCCTTGCTTCCAGGAAGATGCCGCGCATCCATCAACAAACTCAGTCACCAAGCGAGCATCTTACTGCTCATCTACTCCGAACTAGGTCAGCTCCATATTTGAGGCTTTGCCCTTACTTACTTGTCGCTACTTTCCAAAGTAAAGGTGGGCGCAGAGATATGCCACATTCGACGCTCTCCACGGATGTAAGAGGCTTGTTGCAACTCCCCCCCAAAAAGTAACATGGCGCATGGGTATACGGTATCGATTTGAACAAAACTGCATGTATTTTGCGACTGGTAATAAGTAGCTCAATAAAAACAGATGGATTTATACGCTAACAAAACAGTGATTTTGCTTGTCGGTGGATTTCCGTTCAATGGTGAAATTACAAGAGGCTCTTTACGAGGCCTACTTCTAGTTCTCAGTAACCTTCCCAGCCAAGTACTTCACCAACTGGCAGCAAAAACAAGGAAAGAAGAAGCAAAAATGGAGCTAGAAACGAATCAATTTTCTTCTTCATCTTCGTGTTCAACGATAACACTAGATCCACAATTGCGTGGTCGAATACGATATTTACAGGGTAGCCAACGTGCTCAGCCCAGACTCCTGTGACTGCGTATATATTGATACGAAGACAATACGCCATTTGATACATGGCTGTTTCGAAGAAAGAGACTCAAAGCTGTCAACAGCGAAATTACTTGGTAAATCTTAATCTGTAGGTACGAGTTAATACGAACAACTCCCAGTTGCTTCACAACTCTCCGCATCATATATGTACCAAAAGCAAAAACTTTTCTAATGCCCGCCTCTCTATATATCTATCCAAAAACGAAAAGCAAATAATTCAAAGTAGAGTCCCGCTCACCTCCTCCCCAAATCAATCTCCCTCACAAGCACCATATCCCCATCCTCCTCACCCTCCCTCATCCCCTGCACCCCAAAAAACGGACCAACGGCAGCTTTCACCACCCCCCTCCAAAAGCCTTCCACAATCTCCTTCAAATCCCCTCCCGTCTGCTTAAAATCCGGAAACGCGTTAATCTCCAACAACCACGCCTCCCCATCCTCATCCACCATGAAATCCAGCCCAAACACCTCAAACGCATTCGGCAGCGTCTGGAAATGGATCGGCATCGCCCTCGCCGCCGCCTCAAACACCTCGCCCGTCGTCTCGCAAATCTGCCCAAACACCTTCTCCAGCACAGTCGTCTTCTCCAGGGGCAGGTTCCAGAACCGCTGCACCGTGTTCTCGTTGGGCGAATCTTGTAAACATGTGTTTGTCAGAAACGCCTCGATATCCGTAGGCGCCTCCCAGGGGGCTGTGTAGGGTTTGCCCGCGAAAAGGGCGAGCATGTGCTTGTAGACGTAGACGTTGAGGCTTCCCGTGCAGAGGACATATGTCCGGATGTGGAACTTGTGGCCGCCGGGGGAGAGGATCAGGGGAGGATGGATGTACGGCTGAGCCACGAAATGACGAAGATGAGAGGCTGTGATATAGTCACCGCCGGTATCTCCATCCTCTGCTTCGCCGTCTTCGTCTTCGTCGTCGCTATCAGGTCGCTCGGCCTCCCATCCGTCGAAAATGTCTTGCAGCTCATCCATGGTACTGAACAGACGGATGCCTTGGCCGCGATCACTCATTCCCGGCTTGAGGATCCACCATTCTCTCTCACTTGCGTCCTCCTTCTCTGCGTTGCGATCTAGGCTCTCCCTGAGATCAAACGCCTCGATTAGAGCGTCGTCGAGGAACTCGGCATAGTCTACTTCAAAGGCCTCGCTGCGCCTGAGATGTTTCTTGAGAACAGAGTTGGGGTTCTTGGCTGCCCAGTGGTCCAGCGTTGCCGATAGGTAGTGTTTCCTGATAAGCGCTTTCCGGATCATGTAGCTGTTAATGAGGCTGGTTTTAGTATGTGAGGCAGCAAATTCGAAGTCGATTGCTTCGTAAGGAACAATTTGCAACACGTTGCTATCGGAAGACGAGAGTGTTGTCGACAAGTTGAAGTCGTCTGGAGATATATCGGTGATGAGATTGAACGCTTCCTTGGGCAGTACAGCCTTCAGGGCGGTTACAATAAGAGGCTGTACATAAGGGTCCTCGTATGCCACGATGGCTTGAAAACCAGAATTCGACTTGTCTTGATCTTTAGGGCCCTCTCGAATGGCCAGTTCTGCTGTAGAAGGTAATGTTATGGGAGGGCTGAAAGAAAATTAAGTGTAAGAATATCTTCTATTTTAGTCTTTCAATTACGCAAAGCAAGTCTACATGCAGTTCATATCATCAATCGTAACGCGTGTTCCGTCTTTGGCTCGTAAAAAAACAAATAGAAATCCAAAACTCTAATGCCATAAGCGCAGCGGAGGTACTTACAGCTTGATCTCTTGCAGAGCTTTATCTCCCGCACAGCTAGCAAAGTTTGCCTTGAGAGGTGTGACACTAGCAGAGAAAATATCATGTTAGCAACTTGGTGATGCCGTCCTCGAAATTCTACAGTATAGATGGCAACGCTTACCTTGTGTGGCCTTCCCTAACAACCCATCCATCGGATCCCGGCCCTCCCTCTTGGATAGTCTTGTGCACTTCCATGATTTTAGGCGCCCATTTGAAGTTTTTATGCGTGAGTCCTTTGGAAGCCCCGTTGACCGCACCATCAGCTCCGTTCCCTATCCTCTCCGCTTCATCCTGGGGCTCGATAGCCTCAAAGCAGCCTTCTTTGGACCAGTAATTTTGTAGAATGTCTGTCCATACTACTGGGTTCGTCTCAATGTTCTCAACAAGAGGAACGTTGATTGTGTACAGATCAGCGCTGCCGTCAGTGGGCCAGTTCTTGTAGAGATATTCAATGATCCGAAGGCTGTGCCGGCATGCGGCATCGATGAGTTTTGCGTCATGAGTCTGCGAAAAGCTTAGAGCAATAGACTTGTCTCTGCAGGCCGCTGCTTCCAATGCCGCACCCAATGTTCCAGAGCTCAGTGCAAATATCGCCGTGCTGTTCCTCCCATAGTTTGGCCCGCTCACAACCAAGTCAATTGGTCCCTTGTGCTGGAAGAAGTGGTTTGTGCCAATCTGCACGCAAGACGCCGGCGTTCCGTCAATGAGGACCCATTCTTCCACATCGCCCGAGGGAGACGGCCGAGCATGTGTTGTTCCCTCAATATCGTCGCCATGGCTGTTGGCCGAGGGGCGGTAATACACAGGCTTCAGCGTCTGGCCGATCATATGCGCTTTGCCAATCCATGATCTCTGAGTGTCTGGAACGCAGACAGAGACAGTGTGTCCGGCTCGCTCCAAGTGCCGTACAAATGTGTGTATGTAGGGAGAGTGGTACGAGGGCGGTCCGTCGTCGTTGGTTACGAGGATGTGCATCTTGTGAGCTTTTTCGGGGGTTGTAGAGGGAGGATCGAGGGAGGCAGAGCGGTCGGCGGGATTCCAGGACAATTTAAACAAAGAAACAGAGGCACGCTCAGACCATTGGCAGCTGGTGGCCGATAATCGGTCTGCTTTCAAGCAAGCACGCAAGAATTCGAGTCGTTAATCGAGAAGCGAGGTTGTAAGAAAAGCGCAAGTACCACTTTTCGCGAGCGAGGGGCGGCTGACGTGGGGCAGCGGCACTAGCCGACAAACATTACAGGGCACATGCAATTGGATACAGAGGCATCTTTAGGCCTTCTAGGGGTCTTGGGTGCCGCCCATTATGGAGCTGGGTTACATGCGGCATAAGCTGGAGTTGAGTCGGTGTCAGCAGTTGGAGGTTGGGCATCACCACATATACATGTTGGAAGCAACAGACATGAGAGGCATAAGAGGTATAAGAAGTGAGATTGTTTGTCTACAATCAGTTCAACCAACATCAAGCAATTCCCACAATCACTAGTTACATTCAATACACATACATGAAACCAACACAAAGATAAAAACCGTACAGCCATGACCGTGATTTATTGGAGGGCAGACCATCGTGACATAGCCTGTCATCTCTTTTCAAGTTGTGCATCTGCTATTCGGATGGCACACATATCCACATTGCCTGCTAAACGCCAAACTGACTGACCAATTCCATCCATATCCACTTGCCGGTCGTGATGGATAAGAATATTCAACACTGCCGAATGCCCAAATTAATTCACAACGAAAGTGGTGCAGAGCGGTGTCGGCTCGCCTTTCTGTCACATCTTTCTCAAATAGAAAACAAAAGAAAAGAACCAGAAGCTATTATTGGTATAGTGAACAAAGAAAAAGAAGAGACGAACTGAAGCAGAGAAGAGCCGCCGTGTAGCATCTAGGAGCGGGTTCTCTTTGCAGGAGCTGCGGCCAGTGGTTCGCCGGCAGCGCGCTTCGTGCCTGATCGGTTTGCCGACTCCTTGGTTCGAAGCCATGAGTCGAAAGGGCTCTTCTTGCCAACGCGCTTTGCGGGTGTTGGGGCAGCGGACAGCTTGTTGGTAGACCGAGTGGTTCGCCTGGTTTCTGGCGGAGATGCGGGTGCATATTTCGGAGCCTCTGGGGTTTGGGCTCTCTCTTCCTTGGCCTTGACAGGTGTTTCGACAGGTGTTTCGACAGGTGCAGGTGCTGAGGTCTCCTCTGCCTCAGTAGCATCCTTGGCATCTTCGACATCAGTTGCCGCCTCCTCCTCTTCAAGCATCTGCTTGGTCTTTGGAGCCGGTGCCTTGGTAGGGAAAAGTAGCCTGGGCTTGATGGAAGATCGTGTGAGTGGCTTGGAGAAATGAGCCTCAACATCTGAATCCAATTCTTCATCCTCCACTTCAGCGTCAAATTCGGTGAACTTGCGGAAGAATTTCTTGCCACGGCTGAGTCTGAGTGTTAGAGGGTATTCTCGTGATCATACGGTTTGTAGGGATGCTTACAATACGTAAATCAAGCCGTCATCACGGCGCGCTGCTTCCTCCACCGACTGAGCTCCTTCGCCAGGGACCATCACCTTACGCTTGGTGCGGCGTTTAGAGGGCTCAGCACTGGTAGCATTGCCCATAAAAGGGTTCAATTTGCTGTCATCCTTCTTGGGGATGCGCTCCTGAGAATCGGTGAAAATCTCGATATCCTCCTCAACTTCGGCCCGGAAACCCTCCAGAGTGACGCTTGAAAACTTCTTTGAACGCCTCTTACGGGGACTTGATACATCAGCATCTTCGGCGGGAAATAGATTGCGGGCGAAAGACTGAATCTCTGTAGTCTCCTTGGAAGTTGGGGGCTTCTGAGGCGTTTTAGAGGGCGTTGGAAGCATTAGAGAAGAAGACGCGATGGCTCGGCCAGCGACAGACTTGTCTTTTGATCCTGATGAAGCGGCAGATACAGTAGCCACAGCTGCAGCGACGCGACGGACCGAGTCGGCGGCAGGTTGGCGCTTCTTGCGTGGTGAGGAAACTGGTGAAGCCATTGCTGCGGAGCTTTGGGCGGCCGACTTTGCTGCGGTGCGAGGCGATGAAGCTGCTTGGCGAGTTGCAGGCTGAGGCGATGGCGTTCTAGCAGAAACGCGTTGTGCAGACAGTCTCGCTGATTTGCGTGGTGGTGAATACGGTTCCCAGCTATCGTGATAACCAAGTCGGGGGGCTGGTGGCGTTCGGATGGAAGAAGATGGAGCGGGAGGCGTCGAGGGGGTAGCGTCGACGACAGCCATTTTGAAAATGAGAAAAATCAAGATCCCGGAAAACCCAAAATATCAGATGATGAAGCGCCAATCGAGTCGATGAGATGGAGCGAAGCCAAGTCGCAGGCGCAGTTCCAGTGTATCCTGAGTCTTCTCCCAAGGCTGTCGTGACAGCGGAAACGTGAACTCGGGACGAGCCAGAAATCAATAACCGACAAAAACAAAGAAAAAGGCGTCGCACGGGGAGAAAAAGCGGTCTATGGCGTCGATGCGGGAATTTGATACTATGGCGGGAGGGCCATGCGCAAATCGGGGGGGGACAGCGATGATGACACGATGGACGAAGCAAATTTCAGCAATGGCGTGAAAAAAATAATATCGCGAAGTGGTGCTCGTTTGACGATGCTTGGTGATGGATGGCAGAGGAGGAGAGCAGGATTCCGGGAGCTAGACTGCAAAATGAAACTGGAGGGGGCTGGGGCAACCGCCGGCGCTGGAATGGGTGTGCCAGCCCTCCCTTTGCTGGGCCGCTGCAAGGTCGCTAGCGCAGAGCCTGGGCAAGACGCGTTGAGCACCCCCGCCTGTAGCCAGCGGCAACGCGTAGGTTTCGCGCCACGTCGCGCCAATCACAGCGCCGCAGCCCTTGTTTGCGGTGCCCAAGGCTCTGGAGCCCACAGTGGCTGCGATTGGTCTGCAGAGACAGAGATCCACCGTGAAGCTTGAACCTTGTCGACAGCATCACCACAGCAGCGGTGCAAGCCCGCAAAAAATGTGCTATACGCTGCACAACTCAATCTAGATCTGCCCATTCAGCCACTTCAACGATTTGACGCCTGATGCAACGATTGGCGATTTTGGAAACTACTCCCCCGCTCCGACCAACGACATACGAGTAAACGTCACCTGTTGGACGCATCTTGTAGGAAGCACTTGATATCTGCAGGCGCGGCCATCTGCGGTGTATTTCAGACGATATCTTACATCCAGTCGAGCACACTATCTAACCTATTTGTACTCGGCTGAACCGCACAAGAACTCAGATCTTCATCAGAAAAGCAAACATGGCTGGCGAAATGGAGCTGGATGATTCAGATCTCTGGACGTCGCCCGTCAAAAACGATCCCGATCAGCCTCATCCGAAAACACCAAAGACTCCTAGAACCCCTCGAACCCCACGAACGCCACCGGCAAACGACCACCAATCTGAGCCCGTCGACCGAGATGCAATGCTCAAGAGAGAGCTGGACGGCGTACGAAAGATCAATGAGGTCATTGAAGGTGTCATAGGCACTCTGCAGCGGGCCGGCGGAAACATGGAGGTAGGTCCTCAAACTAAGCAGCGTATGTATAAGATGCGTTATAACAGGCGCTGACATATGACGCACACCCCAGTCCGTCTCCAAAACCGTTTCGAATGCTTCTACGCTTCTCAATACCTGGACTCGCATCCTATCACAGACAGAACACAACCAGCGCCTCATCCTCGACCCGACATGGAAAGGCGCAACAGATGACTTGGCGGAGATTGAAGCAGAAGCGCTGCGCAAGCAACAGGCTGAGGCGCGCAAAGCGGCCGAGGAAGAGGAGCGAAAAGAAGAGCTCCGGCGACGGCGGGAAGAAGACGAGCAGAGGAGAAAGTTGCCTGCATCAGCTGCCGCTCGAGGTGCTCGCGGGGCTCCCTCCGGCCGTGGAGCTCGTGGAGCTCGTGGTCGAACAAGGATAGCTACAGGGTCATCAAGGATTGCCACCCGCTCAAGGTATTCCTCAAGTAACAGCGCTTCAGCCTCCTCAAGTAGTCGTGGCACGTCTGGTATTGGGAGAGGGCTTGGGACGACTAGGAGTCGTTACGGCAGAGCCAAATAGTCGTGTTAGTTGGAGCTCGGCCGTGGATGTTGATAACAGGGGGTTCATTTTTGTTTCATTATTCGATATACCGTAGATACCCATAAATGTGTAAGCTGTAACAATGCTATTTCTTCTGAAAAAAGTGACTTAGCTTCTTCATGCCGCTGGTGTTGACCTTTTTGAGGTCCCGGACTCCGCGACTTTCGCTTGCTTTCTTCTTCTTTTCCTCTTCCATCTTCCTCTTCTTCTCCAACCGAGCCTCATCGTCCAATTCATCTTGATTTCTCTTGCGTCCGTAGTCCTGTGCTCTCACTGCCATGGTTTCTGACCGAAGCTTCTCGAGACTGGCCATGTAATCATTGAGAAGAGAAAAATCTTTGAGACCTCCTGTTCCAGAAAATGACTTTTGGAGATTGTCTGCCAACAAAGGGGCCACGTAGCTAGAGCAGATAAACTCAAACGCTACTTTCAGTCTTTGCTGCTCGACAACTTCTGGTGAGGCTTGTAACGAACTGGCAAAGTTCTCCTCTGCCGGCTCATCAGCGACTGATGTTGCAGCTGTACTTGCTTGAGATACTGATGTATCGCTAGTCTCGGTGGTTGATTCTGTAGACTGAGATGTTGCCGACTCTGTCTGTGGAGTAGAAGATGTCGAGTCGGTGTTATTACCGCTCAGCTGACTCTCTCCTGTCCGCACCACTCTATGCATCATCGGTGCCTGAAGAACCTTTTTCACAAACTTGTCTTCCATGCTCGGTGGCAAGCCACTCTCGCTCATCCTCTTGGCCTTTTGAAAGACAACGTCCAAGAGTTTCTTCTCATTTAGCCGAAACATGGCTTCATCACCAGCCTCAATCGTGTCGCAAACTGCACCCATCCGGCTTTCTATCAGTCGCCGCGTTGTCCCCCAGCGCATAATCTCGGATAAATGTGAGTTCTCCTGTGGTAGCTTATCCAAGTGGTCATCGCTTGAAAGAAATAACCGCTTGAATTCATTTGACCCCTTTGATGCCTTGGCGTCGGCCAACGCTGGCAGCACCAGGAAGAGAGGATCAATAGCTGTTGCTACAAAGAGCTCTGATGCCATGGTCACCTGCGCGCTTGGTCCTGCGCCTTGGTTGTTTGTGTTTGTTCCATTGGAGTTGGGCACAGCCTCAATAAGCCAACTTCGGGGCACTGATTTCGGCGTCGCTAATTTTGTGAATTCATAGATGCCGGTTTCGGGACATGCGAGGTATCGCGACGGCTGTGAGCTTCGTGGATTCGGGAGCGTAACAATTCGGGCATCCGGAGTGGCCTTTGACGGCAGAATGAAGACTTTGGGAGCCTCGCCGGTGTGGGAGACGAGGGTAATTGTCGATTTTGACTTGGTCGAGTCGGAATCTGTGGCCGAAGCCGCCGTCGAGGGCTTCGTTGATCGTGTCCTCGCCATGGCGGTGTCGCAAGCGCAATTGACGCGATTGCTGCACTTGGTCTACTCCTTTGCAGCTGTTTAGGTGCTATCGAACGCCCAATGAACCTTTTCCTAGTCTAAACCGCACTGTCGCATGCAAAAGCCTTCCTCTGCCTCTTGCTGCTCATGGGCGTGTAAAAAGGCACCGGCTTGGTTTTGTCGCATTCCGACCCCTGCCAAAGTCTAAAGACGCGATTTACGCGTTCTGCGCCAGTCCCGCGTTTTAGCCTTTGGCGATGCGCTCCACCTCAGCCAGTCAAGCTGTGCAGCCACTGCCGAGTCCCCACCGCCCACGATTTGTGTGTCCAAGCCTTACCGGCTGGCACAAGCGGTGCCCGAACAGCGCATCATTTTTTACCTGTGCTAGGCCTATCGTAGCAAAAGCTGGATCAACAAGCCAACGCCCGCAAGATCAACAGCGCTTGCGACCAGTGTTTACTTTCCTTCTCTCTTTCATCTACCATCGATACTGCCCTACTGGCATTTATTCTTACAGGAATCTGTCCATCATTGGCGCTCGCATCTCGTCCCGTCTCGCTTGTCGCTGCATCTGTGCGCTTCCCCGCCGAGCTGCCCGTGTCGCAGGCCCTGTCGAGAAGCGAAAACATCATCTGCGGCCGCTTAGCCCGTCGCCTCCGTATGGCCCCAGAGCGCTGACGGATCACAAGGGAGCCTGGGCCTAGCTGCTGGTGCCCTGCGTTGTCGTGCCTGAGATAGATCCGGGGGGGTGGTTGGAGTGGTTGGGCAGAGGCGCAGGACCGCGAACCCGACAATCCACCAGCATCAGCATCAGCATAGCATAGCATAGCATCACCACCATGGCCCACGGTGAGTGGCCCAGGCCGCTGCCGCTGCTAATTGCGACTGACCGCCCAGCAGGACCGCAAGAGTCAGAGACCTCTTGGCCTCCTCGGTCGCCCCACGAAGCCCTCATGAGCACCCCGAAAGGTCGCCAGCGCTACCGAGAAATGATGAATCAGACCTCGCCGACACCCACGCCCTCTCCATCCAAGAGCAGCAGGGCTACGGCATCGGTCATGGCGCGATCCGGGGCGCTTCAGGAACAGATGGATGACGATGACGACGACGATGAGGAGACGCTCCAGCTGAAGCTGCAAGAGATCCAGGCTCGATTGAAGCTGAAGAAACTGCAAAAGGCCCGCGAAAATGCTGCTCAGGGCAGACACTCCCGCTCAAACTCCGTTACATCAAGCGTCCAGCCACGACGCGCTGTTCGCGGGACTACACCAACGCCAGAGAGTCATCCACGGCCTGCGTCGCAGAATATGGTACAGGTCCCCGCATCTCCCGTTCGGAAACTACAGCCTCCACAGGATCCAAAATCGCCAAGTAGAGTGCTGCTAGGCATCGACAAGGGGCTGCGGGCAAAGGATGTTTCGCTAAAACGCGCTCCAAGCTTTCGAAGGCCGGCAAGCATCGACAGAGCGGGACAGAGAAGCTATTCAGAGAAGCCAAAGGCAGCTAGTCCATCGGGAATGTCGTCGCCCGAAGGATTCCGGTCACTCAGTTTCAATGAGCGATTGGCATCCGCAAGGTCAGAAGAAGTGTCTCGCGCCGAAAGACAAGAGAGGATATCCAAGCTGAGATCCAGCGCATTCGTCGGAATTGGCAAGGAGGAAATGGAAGAATACAAGAAGAATGCCGTCGACATTCCAGACGAGCCTTTGCAGGCCCCGACTTTTAGCAGGGACGAGATCCTTGGCAAATCGAAACCACCTGTGGTGTTGCAACGGACCCGTACGGTTTCTGATTTGCGCGATACTGCAGGCAGAAACGGCAATCCCCCTTATGGCAATATTCCCCCATTCATACAGTCCTCTCAAAGGCGTAAAAACAGCTTGCCGACGAGTGACATCTCCACGGAAGAGCAAGGGTCATTTGAACCTTACTCTAGCATACATCTTTCTAAACGGATATTACCCAATCGAGTCGTAGCTAGGCATGTTTCTGGCAAGAAAATATTCAATATCAAAGATCTGTTGCGAGAGGTCAAGGGTCCAGACTTTGCCCTGCCAGATGTCGAAGAGGACATTATCGTCTTTGCGATTGTAGCAAAGAAGTCAGAGCCCCGAGCGCATAAGCCCGCCGCGGGGAAGAATGGACAGAAAGACGAGGATCGTGGCAAATACATGGTACTGACTCTAGTCGACTTGGAATACGAACTGGATCTATTTCTATTCAACTCGGGCTTCACTAAATACTGGAAGCTCACAGAAGGAACTGTTGTCGCCATTCTTAACCCCAATCTGATGCCACCACCACCTGGAAGACAAGATACTGGACGGTTTAGTCTGGTCATTAATTCGGACGAGGATACGATACTCGAGGTTGGGTCAGCTCGCGACTTGGGCTTCTGCCAGGCAATCAAAAAAGACGGAGAAATGTGCAGATCTTGGGTGAACAAGAAGCGGACGCAATTCTGCGAGTTCCATTCCAACGAAGCCATCCGGAAGCAGCGAAGTGCACGAATGGAAGTCAACTCGAGTGGCTTTGGTACTCGCGCTCGTTTTCAGGGCAAAAGCTCCGTAGAAGTTTTTGAGCCGGTGAAGAAGAAAAACACAGACTACGACTGGGAGACCAAGACACATTGGTACGCGGCGCGAGGGCATACGGCTTCAGAGCTACTTGATGGCAAAGATCGAGATCCTTCAGATAGGAAGGACAAGGCCGAGTTTCTACGACGCAATATGGAAGCCAAGGAAAAGGAGCGCGAAATGATGAAAAAGCTTGGTGAAGTCGGCAATGCGGCTGGGAGAGAATATATGCAGCGCGCAAGATCTCGAACCGATGCAGGCCTGGCACCCAGCAGCATGAGCTCGAGCCAGCAACTCTTCAACACGGCAGATCCCTTTACTGAACCCGAAAAGCCAGATGCAGCCTCGCTCGGCCTCCTGGACAAGGCTCGTGACATCCACCTCAGTCCTGTGAAAAGGAAACGGACGGGTAGTTCTCAGACTGGATCTCTTACGCGGAGCAACAGTAGCAATAGTAATAGTACTACTCACAGCAGGCCGTCCGGCCTTGGCTGGGGCGGCGCGTTAAAGGACAAGCTCTCGAGCATGAAGGAAGGGGAGAAGCTCAAGCCAGAGCAGCCACCGCTTCGGAAGAAGACACGGTTTGTCACGGAAAAGGGAATCCGAGAGGCTGGCCGCGAGAGCCTTGGCAACTTGTCCGAAAGGAATCTGGCCGACCGGCAGGTGATCTTACCCGACGACGATGACGAGCTTGTCATCGTGGGGTAGATCCCAAAGCTGAGGCTGAGGATTTCGGGCAGAAATCAGACCACCAATGAGAGACTGAGGCAGCTACATAAACGACTTTTATGACTACTACTACTACTACATAACAAAAGGCATGGATAAGGTTTTTTTCTCAAGGGGGGAAGCGTCAATAGCATTGTGTATGTCACTTTCTGGCACATTTTTTTCTTCCCTTTTCTTCCCCTTCAATGGTACCATAGTTGCCCCAGATGCTTTTTCTTTTTTTCTTTTTCCTTTTCTCTTTTTATTTCCTTTTGTTTGGAAATGTCTCGAAGAATGGGAAGGCAGGGAGGGTATGGTCATAAATCCGGCTGAGGCAAACCATATGTTGGCTATTGTAAAGATAAAGGCGAAAGAGTACGGCATGGTCTGATTTTGTTGAGCATTCGGGCGGCAGTGCCTTTTTTTCTACTTTTTTGGAATACAATGTTTTGTGCAATCTTGCAGTAGATGAGATGCTGTGCTCTTTCAGCTCTGAGAGGGCTATGATAGTATCATTGGCTGAAGTGAGAAGCGCGCTATGATGTCTCGTGTAGCCGTTCACAGGTTTGAATTAAGGTTGAGCAGCGGAATTTGGGCCATTTGTTCCAATTTGCCTGCTTTCTTTCCGACGGGGTTTACAAAAAAAAACGTTCTCGATCGTCAAAGACAAGAAACGTAACTAATGGAGTGAGCAGCCGTTTTTCCTTTTTGTCCAACTCTGCCACAGCCGAGTTAGCGCCCATGGCCAGCGCAATGGTTGACATCACCACGTGCAGCCTGTCATACCGCCTCCTTTTCAATACGAATGGTGCTAATGGGGTTCAGTTCATCCATGTTCGAGCCAATCTGGGCGACTCGAGTTTGTGGATGATCATATCCAGATAAGGAAATAGCCCCCTGGTAGGCTAGATGGACAGCTGAATCGTCTTTGACGTCAATTGGGTATACGAAGATGGAAAGATATGCGCTGGAGATGATACCAATTCGGGTGACATGCGGCTAGCAACTTGAGATCTGCCGTAGAACAATGGAGCTAAGCAGGGCTGGCTATATGAATGAATCGAAACTTTTATGCAGAACAACAAGCAGCCTGAAAATAGCTGGTGCGGTGAAGCAAGAGGGAGAAAAAGAGAATGTGTAAGACGCCACGAAGCGGAGGGGATGGAGGTAATACGAAGTAAGCTTAAAGCCATTTGAGATGGACGCCCAATGGTTGTTGAGTAGGTTGATTCAAGGCTACTGTTAATCGGCTTCTTTAGTCATTTGCCATCTTTTGCTCTTTTTTTAACTAAAGGGTGCATGAAAGAACGAACATACGATTAAGTGTTTAGCTTGCAAGGCTCAAAGTATAATCTCAATTTGGAGCTGAGCATATGACCACGACGAGCTGAGAAAAGTGCGCCTCATTGGGAGCCCAGCTTGTCCTGCAACTTCAAGGAGATACGTCACACCAGAAAGTGAGCGGCCAAATCTGGTGATTTAATTACAAAAAATAAAACTTCTGAAAACGATATATCGGTTTCGAAAGGAGCTTTTCATTCTTGGCGAAGACTCAATTTTGCTGGCTCGTATTCTTTAGGAGCTTCTAGCGCGCTAAGTAGAGAGATGAAGACTGGACGTTTGCCGAGATTCGTCGATGTAAGCTACAGACATATTACAGTAGCTTGTGAATGATTCAGAATTATATCCGACTTTGTGTACATGCAGAGTTGGTGCACAAATGTCTTATACTCGTGAGATTATGATACGACCTGGTACGAAGTGACTGTCCTATGAGCGTTTCCAGCGCGCTTCTAGATGGTTCAGCTCGACTAACACGCCCAGGATGGCTGCTGGCAGGGCCTTCGATCTGTAATACCTGCGATACGCTCCATACGCCATATAACCATGTGCTATTTCAAGCGTGAAATTGCAGCTCGTAACGTTACTCTGTGAGGGTGCCGAGGCTGGCCAAGAATAGCAGCAAAACTTGTTTCTAAATGAGGAGGTTTACGGGCAGCTGCAGTCAGCGGCCGAGGCCTTTTGTTTTGGCCCCATTGACCAATATCAAGAATTAAGAGTCCAACATAGGGGCAATTGATCCTTCAGGATATACCTGCAGAAGGTTTTGTGCCAAGTTTGGACTATCTTCCAACTCATAGATGCACTAGACTGACCTTTCAGCCACTGAACTCATGGTGTTTAGATAGCTGAGAGTGTATTATCATGCCTATGGCGGGTGTGTCTCGTATATGTGCGATACATGTAGGGAGAGCTCGTGATATATAAAAAGAACATGAGATGAGCAGCACCTGAACTACTGCTAGCGCGGCGGTGATGAATTTCAGTTGATGCAAGGCTGTCCGGAACATGGTTCAGTTGGCAATAGTAGATTCAGTTGATCTAGCGCCAACAATCGGTATTTACTCAGGAAATAAGATGAATGTTGGTGTCCGTAACCGTAGACAGTAGTAGCACACGCATATGTTAGAATTGGCTCCAGGTAGCATTGGCATTACGAGATATGTTCAACCCTTCTTCGTATCCCTTTTCGCCTCTTTTCCCGGTGTCAAACCTCCTCGCAGCATGATCAGCACAGAGCTGCTCTTCGTATAGACTTGGGCATCAAAGGCTAATAGATTAGAACAATGCCATCTGGCGCTTTCCATTGGAGCTTCTCGATCCTTTTCTCCGACTATTGCCCAATAGTTTGAGGGCAGCCTGTTTGGATTAGGCAGTGGTGCACGCCTAGAGGCTCCGGCGGAGGGAAAATCGGTGCCTCCGGTGCCTTAAAATGCTACGCCGAAGGAGCCGATTTTCAGACCCTCCAATTCCAGGCACTAGACCAGTCCAAAACGCCACCTCTTTGTTTATTCGAATGCGTAATTTTAATTCTGCTTCTAAAATTATCACGCGCTGAAGCCAGAATGCAGTGTCCGAATACTACTGGCATGAGCACCAGTATGTAGTACCGCTGTTATGGAGCTTTGATGCTGGTAGTAATGCTAATACATGGCTACTTTGCTCCATCACCAGGTCGCAGCGATGGATCTCACCAGTGAGACACAGGACAAAGGCCCAACCGAAGCCACGCATCGAATGGCTGGTTTGCGGCAGCTGAGATTCCCAGGGAGCACAAAACAAAACACACGCGTGCCCGGTCCACTTTCACATGGATCGACAGACGGTGAGGCGGAGAGCCGTCGAGGCCATTGGCAGCACAGCGAGCGTTGACGCTGTGGCACGCGGATTGAACCACGAGATGGCCAGCTTTGGGCGTCAAGGGCAATGCAATGCCTGCTGCTAGGTCGCTAGTGGCGCGATGGCTGGCGATGGCGCGCAACTCTTACGGCATACAGCACATGCGCCTGCATCCACGGCGGTTCGCTGATCTTGCTTCTCATGCAGCATTGCGAGAGTTGGATCAAGCGACAAACCCCTTTGCTGGGGATTATTGCTGCTATAAGCATAGCTCCACGTGGACGATACAAGCTTTGCCCGGATATAAGCTAGAAAAAAAACTTAATCACAATGCACCTGTCTTTCCAAAAAGGCTATCGACATCCCTGGCCTGTCAGCAGTCTATCGGCACTCGGCTGGATCTCAAAAGAGAAGGACGTAAAAAGAGAAATGACAAAGGAACTGGAAGAACACTAGAATATTACACCTCCCTTTGATGCTCCGTGGCTTGGCCATGAGCCGGTAATCCCGTAGGGAGCAAGAACAACAACAACGACAAGAGAAAAAAGAGGAGACGATCGTCAAATCGCACGCAGGGAGCAGACGTCATGCTGCGTCTCCCAGCCAGCAACGGCGCCTACCGTCTGTCCTTGCACAACTTACAAGCATGGCATTGCCAGCCGCCAGCGCAAAAGCTGTCGGCGCTTCGCCGGCGAGCATGTCTCAGACCAGCGCACCGCTCATCGCGCTCGTCGCTCTCGCTCGATCTTCACGCGCGAGCCTATCAAAGGCGCATCGGGCCTGGCGAATAATGGACCCATCCCCGCACGCCTCCAGCGTCCTGAAATCTCCTCGACGCCAAGACGCCTGTCGAATCTCCAGTCGTGGCATGGGGCGGTTTCGACACCATTGGCCCAGGCCCTGACGCTAGGGCTGAATCAAGTCTGGAGCCGACTGGTAGCCTCGCCGCACAGCTTGCCCTTGTGTGGGATTGGATATGCGCATCCCTAAGCTCCTCGTATCGTGCCCAGCCTAGATGTTTCTGCTGCCAAACTGCTGCCAATCGGGCTTGGCCCCCGAGGCCGTGGCGTGGCGCTGCTTGGGAGCGTCTCCACGACGGAGGTTCATCCCTTTCGCTTTCCTCCCTTGCGGCGTCCGTATCGTATTGCTCAGGCACGGCGGGTACGGCTTTGTCCACTAGCATTGCCGCGTGGGAAGAAAGAAGAGAAAGGAAGAACAAAAATAAACTAAACAAAGAGGCTAAAATCTTTGTTCAGGGATGGGCGTTGGCCAGCCCCCTGAAAAGAAGCCAGTGGTGAATGAACGCATGCTTAACACTAACAACATGCAGCGTGGGTGACGGCTCCTCTGATCTGCCATTCCTCGATTTCGTTTGCTCTTGCTCTGCTGCCGAGTTCCCGGCGCCCTGTATGCCGTACCAGCCAAGTAGCCCTGGGATTCGAGCGAGCGTGTGTCTGTGTATACTCGAACGGTATGTACTCGTGTGGGTGGGGTGGACGATCCGGCAGCTAATCCCAAGAAGCTGCCAAAGCAAATAATACAAAATCGCCAGCCTGCTGCTGCTGTCCTCCCCTAGCCGACCTGGAGAATCCCTCCCATCCTCGTTCTCCCCCACCCCTGTCACATGGCATAATCCATTCAGCTGGATTGGTGTCGTATATATATTCTATATCAGCCTCTTAGTCGTTTGGCCTTCGCCTACAGCAGGAAGAAGAACCGACTTGCCTGTATAGGGAAGGGAGCTCGCTTTCAATCCGTACTTCCAAGTTCCCACATTACAGGAGCCGCGCCGTTTACCCAACTCTCATCCAGGTCCCTTTTTTATTTCTCCTATTCTGTCTCTGGACTCTTCACAGCTTTCTTTCGTTCTTCTTTTTCCTTTCTTCTTCGACCACACATTCGTTTAAACCGAAGCGCATCATGATGTTGCAAGCTTCCGTCTCGGTGCTGGCCTTGGCCGCAGTTTCACTCGCACAGGGTACAGCACACGTCCCCGTCACTGGTGTTCCCGTCTCTTCTGGTTCCGCTGTGCCTCTGAGACAAAATATCAATGACTTGGTCAAGGCTGGGCCGCAATGGTAAGAACCCAAATGACTGTTCTAGTCCTGCCAAGCGAGGGAAGATGAGAACGTGGTGCTCATTATGTAATAGGGATCTCTATGTTCAGGCCATGTATAACATGTCCAAGCTGGACTCCCACGACCCTTACAGCTTCTTCCAGATTGCCGGTAATTCTTTTCTTATTTGATGGCATGACTCTCGGAGCCATTAGTAACACTCGCTAGGCATCCACGGCGCACCGTATATCGAATACAACAAAGCCGGAGCCCGATCAGGAGACGGATGGCTGGGGTACTGTCCTCACGGTGTATGTCCTCGCAAAGGCGCCTGTCCATTCACTGAACCCCCCGACGCTATCATGAACTGCCTCTGACATGTCTTTAGGAGGACATCTTTCTCACTTGGCATCGGCCTTATGTTCTGCTTTTCGAGGTATGATATTTCTAGCGTCTCTCACCGTCATGCCTCCGTTTAGGAATGCGGTGGCTTACTTTTCACTTAGCAAGCATTGGTGTCTGTAGCCAAGAAAATCGCCAATGGTTACCCTGCTCAGTATCGCGCCAAGTACCAAGCAGCGGCAGCAAGCCTGCGAGCTCCCTACTGGGACTGGGCCGCCGATAGCACCGTCCCTGCCTGCACGGTCCCGAACACGCTCAATATTAATGTCCCCAGCGGCAGTGGCATCAAGACGGTCGCTTACACCAACCCTCTCCGGACTTATTATTTCCCTCGCATCGCCATGACCGGCTCGTATGGAGAATTCTCTGGAGGTGGTCAAGACCACACGATCCGCTGCCCTTCGCCTCAAGAGAATTATCCTAACACGGCTAATGCTAACCTGCGGGCGCGCCCTTACAAGGGCTGGATTGTAAGCTGTCATTGTTGATACTGAGCCATCAGTGGATGTTGGTTGCTAACAAGTGCGCAGTATGACGTCCTGACAAACTCTCAAAACTTTGCCGATTTTGCTTCCACCAGCGGCCCTGGTATCAACGTCGAGCAGATTCACAATGCCATTCACTGGGATGGTGCTTGTGGCAACCAGTTCCTTGCTCCCGATTACTCTGGCTTCGATCCTCTGTTGTAGGTTGAACATGGTGTAATATAAATAGAATCCAAGTAGAAGCTAATATTGGAACAGCTTCATGCACCACTCCAACGTTGACCGCATGTGGGCGTTCTGGGAGGCCATCATGCCTAATTCGCCCGTCTTCACCGCATCCTACAAGGGCCAGTCTCGATTCAACAGCAAGACAGGAGCCACCATTACTCCCAACTCTCCGCTGCAGCCATTCTACCAGGCAAACGGACAGTTCCACACCTCCAACACCGTCAAGAGCATCCAAGGCATGGGCTACTCCTACCAGGGCATCGAGTACTGGCAGAAAACCCAGGCTCAGATCAAGTCCAGTGTCAGCACCATCATCAACCAGCTATACGGCCCCAAGAGCTCCTCGAAGCGAAACACTCGTGCCGCCGACCTTGTCCAGACTCGTTACTTTGCGCAGATTTCCGTCAACGTCACCGAGATTAAGACTCGCCCCGCCGAAATCAACGTCTACGTTGCTGGTCAAAAAGCCGGCAGCTTGATTGTCATGAAGCTTCCCGCCGAGGGTACGGTCAACGGTGGATTCACAGTCGATACTCCCATGAGGACCCTTCTGCACGGAGGCAACCGTAACGCTGTTAGCGCCTTTTCGTCTGATGTTGAGGTTGAGATCCTCACTGTAAGCCCTTCCCCTCTTCACTTCTTATAACACCCTCAACATCGGCCTTATACTGACAAACCATTTAGCGCTCTGGTGAAACTATCCCCCTCGAGAGCGTCCCCAGTCTTGCTATCGATCTCGAATCCGCCAACGTCACCATGCCATCTGCCCTGGATCAGCTCCCCAAGTACGGTACTCGTTCAAGGCACCGTGCTCAGGCCGCCCAGAAGGGACAGCGCGTCCGACCTCCTCCCCCTCCCCCTCCTCCTGCTCAGTAAAGGGAGAGGCGAGGCCACCAAACCTTTTTCATCTTGTTGCAATATTATCTAGCCATATACATGACAGAATGCTCGCAAGATGAGTGTTTGAGTATATACTACGACTTTCCAACATAGGTTTTCCGACTTTTTTGGACGTGGCGCAATATTTTTTCACATCTTCTTGGCTTTTATCCTCTGGTACTTGCCCAAGAGATTTGCTGATTGAGTTGATGATATGGTTTTCTGTATATAACACTTTCTCTTTTCATTACTTGGGACTGCATGAGGACATATATACACGACATGCATGCTCTTTACCAAGCGTGCTTTAGGGCGTTCCTAAAGGGCGACTCTGAAGGCGGATTGGATATAAATTAAGACGACGATAATTGAATATTGATAATTTTGACAAGTTTCTGACTATGTGCCTCCATGAACGTCAATTAAGAGCCACAATTGATTAGCAGGCCGGCGCTCTGGTCGGTTTGCAGTGGGGTTGATGTGCTTGAGTTTATCGAGAATATGAACGGACCACACCGTGGCTTCAGCTCATAGATGTTTTCAGCATTGGGAATGGCCGATTTTGTTGTAGATTAGAAAAAATGATGGAATTATTGTATAGAAGGGAAAAAAGGGGGGGGGGTTATGAAAAAGTGACAAAAAAACATGCGGCCTGTGTGGATCGAACACACGACCTTCAGATATCAATTGAATGACTGAATGACTTCAGTCTGACGCTCTCCCAGCTGAGCTAAGGCCGCAAGTTGAATGGTGCGGGCTTGTTGAAATCTATAAGCTATTCACTAGCGCGTTTTCGTGTATTTGATGGGCGAGGTCTCGGGTAGAGCTTGCGACATGCTCGTTTAACTACCTGGGTAGGATCTAGCGATTTTCTCATGCGCATGCATACTAGGAGTGTTAACTTCAGGTGACGCGTGAAATTCATCTTTGTATACATTGAGTACTTAATTGAATATTACGTCTACTTCACCTTGATGTGATATGATTGATATCAATACCCATGTAGTCACAATTTCTGTTATATCCGTCACTCTAAAGTCGAATTGCAAATATGCGTCTTTATACTAATTTCTTACTTGATAGACGTAGATCTCGTAAAGACAGTCGAAAAACAATTGGAGTTTGGCATTCTCTCTCCTGTCTTTGTTATATGGTGAGCCTAGACAATTCTTATGGACTGTGGCTGAATGCCCTCCCATTGCCTTTTACCCTGATGTTTATAGAGATGATAAAGCCAGATACCCACTTTAATGAACTCCCTCTCGTTCTCCGTTGGGAGCAATAGCAGACCCAGGCAATTCTCTCCAGGGGCAAACCCCCGTGACTGGTTTTCCAGCGGTTTCTTGTGTTGAATACTGCTAGTCAGCATCATCCACATTTGCTCTACGGGTTCGTTTGCACTGTCCGAAATACCCAAGGACGGAGAATCCCAATCCAGCGAAAAGTTCGCAACGTACTCATCGCTTGGCGATAAGAAAGCATGAGTTGTATTAAGATACAAGAAGCCAAAGGTGTAAGTCTTTTCCGTGTCCGCATTTTTTACGACTTTTGCTTTGCCATCGCCGCCAAGTGGCACCCGAAGTAATTTTGCCTCAAGCTCAAGGCATGCGCTGGACACACGGCCATACAAGTTTGTCCTGTCAGCAGCGACAACCTCGGCATTAAGTAATCTATACTCGGGGAAGAAGGCGCTATCAGCGGGTAGGCGGCCATTGATTTCCCCGAGCCAGTTGACGGGACCTGGACAGCTGGCCCAGCTCCATGAAGGCGCAATATATTCTTGAGAGACGTGTTTGAACCTGTACCCGTGAGAGCAAGGCTCCAGAACATCCTGTACATTGCGCTTCGGGAACGGAGACCATAGAAGTCCCCTGTGAAGATCTGATTTCCAGAGCCCTGCTAGGTATTCTTGACCGGGATTCTCCTCAGAGATTAACTTGGCGAGCGCAGAAATGGCGGGAAATTTATCAGTCTCATAAGTAAGCCGTCTTTTGCTATAGTCTTGCATCGATTTATACCATCCTCTTATCGGATCGTTAGGTATCAGTTTACTACTTGACAAGAATTCATCATGAAGTAAACGAAATCCATCCGCGAGGATGTGCTGGTCTCCCCAAGCGTAAGAGAAAATATGTTTCTGAAAGAAAACGTTTCGTGATGAAAGTAGAGCCTCCTGAAAAGTCCAGCCTCGGCTGTTCCAAGGGGTGTGCCTCATGTCGTCCACTGTGTGTTTTTCGAAGGTTTCTGGGGGTACTTTCCCTGCCTCCTGGGAATCAATCGAGCAGGGTCTAGCATCCGAATATGGACGACTCCCGAAATGGATGTATCTATCTCAGAGCGAAATTTGACTTGGAGTGTCGGCCGACTCCATTTCGTCCTCAAGAAGCCGCCTAAGCAAGAGCTTCCTTGAAGGATACATAATGTGAGAAAGCTGCTGCTATAAACCTTTGCCATTTGGAGCGATTCTCTAGCCCAGTCATCGCCGTCTCCTTGGATGATACATAGGGCATCTACCCAGTGATACCTAACCCCAAGAGCTCGGCATGCGTGAACAGCGTCGGCGATAGTTTGTGGCATCTCATGTATATCGATTTGCGACAAGTGCTTGCTCAACGAATCTGCTGTCGTTTTCAGCTGTTTCTCAGACTTCTCTTTAGATCCCCAACAATAGCTGAGAGCCAAGTACCTCTGTTTAACCGGATCTGCTTCCTCTCTGACATCTTCATCATCTTTTGAGATTATGAGCCTCAATTTTGTTGAGTTATTTGCCCCAACGTCTATGAGGCGCGTAGGCAGAAACGTGCCCTGTGCTGGATCTGAGGCATCACATAGAGACTTGTCTATCAGCTCATGTAAACGACTCAGAGATCGAGTAGATATAAAGTCGTTTGAAATTGGCTTGCGACGGATTCTAAGCCAGGATCGACATGGATCTAATTCATGTAAGCGCAATCCGTAAGACCTTGTGAAGTCACCACAGCAGCATACCACATGCATCGGCATATATCTGATATTGAAGAGAATACTTTGCGTTGTGAAATCCCCAATCAATCTCGACGTAGACAATCAATATATTGAGCCAATCATAAACATCTGAATGGTTAGGCGGTCTGGATTCCCCATCGTCGTCATCGTCATCCCAATAGTCCGGGCTTCCATAGCGAATATGATTATACAGGTAATTGACATCAGTAATCATGATCTTTGCATTCTGAATTGCATGGTTCCCATCTTCTTCTCCGTGTGCTGTACCATTGAAATCATTGACTCGTGGCTTTTTGAGCTTTCTGTAGGAAAAACGCAAATCGCTCCTCAGCATACGACAAAACGCGCAGGTCTGGGCAGTAGCAGCGATATTAGGAAGGCCGGGAAGAATATCTTCTCGGCGGTATCCGAGGCTTAGCTGGTACTCCGGGTCCCGCTCATTAACCACAATGCTTTTAAATTGAACAAATCGTTTTCCGCCAGCCTCTTGAGCGACTCCACCATGCAGTGTATCATTCAATTCAAGGACCTTGCAATATTCACATGGCTGATCTAAAAGCAGCACCTCATTAGTACTATCCATGTTCTCACTTGACTTGCAACCATCACTCGAGGTCATCATTGCACTTTGGCTGGTTTAAAAAGATGACGAAAAAAGTTGCTCTGAGGGTTTATTAACACGTAGGTAGTCAATTTGTTCCTTATGGATGTGATCCTGGAGGAGGGGCCATAAGGCACCAAGACAGAAATGGGGTTTCATTGGTCAAAGGATGCAGGACCCATCTCCCAAAGCGGGAGATTAAGAGCAGTAACATTTAGGTTCTTCCAGTAACGCATTTTACTTTTGTTATTTGCGTACTTACGACTGCATTAACGTATATTCAAGCAAAGCTGCGAAGCTGCTTTGCGAAGGTACTACCGGAGTTAAATGCTAGCTTCTAGCTTTGCTTTTATTAATCAGACAAAATGCCAACGCTAGGGAAGTCTAAATAAATCTCGACTGGCAATTGGTCTTTTTTGCCCGGGCACACCGCCTTTAAATGTAGATAAGACTCTGTTTTATTACTATTTTGCATATAAAACGTAAGTCTCGCGATGTTACGTTTGTAGTGTTCAGGTAGTTCTATACCATAGACTATTATTGACATTGTAATTTCTAAAGAAATGCTTTACTTGAAGAGAATTCTACTAATACAGAGAGATTCTATAACTCTAAAGCTTTTGAATGGTATAGCTCACGCCAATTAAAAAGCATAGAGTCATTATTCAAAAAGGGCGACTTCTATTAATCTACCTACCTAGCTACTTACCTAGCTACCTACCTACCTACCTACCTACCTACCTGTAGGCCGCTTCGATTGAACAACGCGGCTTCGTTCGATCACAAAGGCGGCTTCGTTCGATCACAAAGGCGGCTTCGTTCGATCACAAAGGCGGCTTCGTTCGATCATAAAGGCGGCTTCGTTCGATCACAAAGGCGGCTTCGTTCGATCACAAAGGCGGCTTCGTTCGATCACAAAGGCGGCTTCGTTCGAAAATGCGAGCAGCTTTGCTTGCCCCTATGAACGCTTCTAGCGGGCATCAGACTTGTTTGCTGCATATATATAACTGATGAAAAGCTCTGCGATTGGGGTCGTTAACCCGTGGCGTGACTCAGCGCTGGCCCGAAGCCAGTCTCGTAAAGGATAGGCAGGTTAATAGTGGTGGCGATGCGACTATACCATGCACAAAAGTCCCATCGCGTTATTGGCGCGTTGCGTCCAAGGCTAATACAGGAAATCCAGGAACAAAGATTCCGATCACTTCTCATATAGGAAATGAGTAAATTGGAGTACGAATTTTAGACCAAATAAGACAGACCAACGCGATTCTCCAATCCGTCAAAAGCGCAGGCCTTTGAGTTGCGTGGCGAGATTGAGACAAGTTATTCCATGACCACCACCAATATACCGAGGCATTGCAAGCTTCAATCCTATCACTGCAGCTTTTTCCCTCGTTCCGCATGCCATTAATAAGAGGATTACCAACTGGTATATACGAACACTATGCACTTTTGCTAGCGATATGGCTGATGAACTTTTGCGATCACGGCTGGCGGAAATCGAAAAGACCCCTGTGCTAGGCTAGTTGCGGGCTGGTCTTTTGGAGAAGAAAAGCTGGGGCTCCGATGTTTTGTGCCCGATCCGGCAAATCCGTCTTATATTCTACGGAGCAGCTGAACCGGCCGATAGGTGGAGAGCGCAGCGCTGAGCTGTCATGGTCATGCTCATCCTCGTAAAGCAAAGCGGGTGTTGACCGAGAGAGCGAGATAAGCTATTTAGGGTTAAAACGCAGTTGTATGGAGTAGCACACCGCCAGTCCGAGGTAGATGCTGGATATATATGGTGATGAGCACTCGGACAGCCATTGAGCTTGAAAGGAATGTTATTAGTGGTTTATAGGATGTGGGTAGAGAGGGATGCATATCCTTATGCCCCTTTATGTATGTTAATTGAACAACTACGTGAGAGTCCAACTCAGCTGCCAATCAACTCGGACGCCGTACCCGTTGTGGCATCCATCCACGCCCTTCCCGCAGCGGCCAAACTCCAACCATTGCGCCGCCTCTGTCAACGACATCGGGCGTTTATACCATTCCATCTGGCACTTTTTGATTCTGTCCACAAACCCCTGGATCAACTCCAAAAGTGCTGCTCCACACTGCCTCTTTTGCCAATCGCGGCCCGGAACCCCGGCACTGCTTGACAGGCCCCGGGGCCACTAACAGCCGACTAGCATGGATCGCAGCCCTGCTCGACCTTCCTATTGGGGAGCATGATGGACAAGAACTTCTGTCCAGCCGGTAATCGTAATCTTGCATCGCTGCCAAGTCGCTGCCAAGTTCTGATATTTCCTAGTGCAACGGCGGGGATCGCTGCCTGCTGGGACTCGTGGCGGCTGGGGATTACACCATCCAGTGGAGGCATCACCTCTGAGTCTTGAAATAGCATCTGTTTATATGCTGGGGTTGTATAGGGCCAGGGGTTTTTGCACGGCATATACTTGTATAAAAGGGCTGAGATGCCCCCGGATCTGAAATCGAGCCCCCTCCTCGCCTTGCTCCAGTGTTCTCCAGTCACCCCCAAATCTCACTCACAATGGCCAAACTGACAGCTCTTGCCGGTCTCCTGACCCTTGCCAGCGTGCAGGCCAATGCCGCCGTGCTCTTGGACAGCCTCAACAAGGTGCCTGTAGGATGGGAGGCTGCTTCAGCCCCGGCCCCGTCATCCAAGATCACCCTCCAAGTTGCCCTGACGCAGCAGAACATTGATCAATTGGAATCAAAGCTCGCTGCCGTCTCCACGCCCAACTCCAGCAACTATGGAAAGTACCTGGACGTCGATGAGATTAACCAGATCTTCGCTCCCAGCAGCGCCAGCACCGCTGCTGTTGAGTCCTGGCTCAAGTCGTACGGCGTGGACTACAAGGTGCAGGGCAGCAGCATCTGGTTCCAGACGGACGTCTCCACGGCCAACAAGATGCTCAGCACAAACTTCCACACTTACACCGACGCCGTTGGTGCCAAGAAGGTGCGAACTCTCCAGTACTCGGTCCCCGAGAACCTGGCCGACCACATCGACCTGATTTCGCCCACAACCTACTTTGGCACATCCAAAGCCATGCGGGCTTTGAAGCTCCAGAACGCGGCCACCGCCGTTTCCCCCCTGGCTGCTCGCCAAGAGCCCTCCAGCTGCAAGGGCACAATTGAGTTCGAGAACCGAACATTCAACGTCTTCCAGCCCGATTGTCTCAGGACCGAGTACAGCGTCAACGGATACAAGCCCTCAGCCAAGTCCGGTAGCAGGATTGGCTTCGGCTCGTTCCTGAACCAGAGCGCCAGCTCCTCGGATCTCGCTCTTTTCGAGAAGCACTTTGGCTTTGCCAGCCAAGGCTTCTCCGTCGAGCTGATCAACGGCGGATCAAACCCCCAGCCTCCCTCAGACGCCAACGACGGCGAGGCCAACCTGGATGTCCAAAACATTGTGTCATTCGTACAGCCCCTGCCAATTACCGAGTTTATTGCTGCAGGATCTGCGCCTTACTTCCCTGACCCCGTTGAGCCGGCTGGAACTCCTGATGAGAACGAGCCTTACCTCGAGTACTACGAGTATCTGCTCTCCAAGTCAAACAAGGAGCTTCCCCAAGTCATCACCAACTCCTACGGTGACGAGGAGCAGACTGTTCCCCAAGCATATGCCGTCCGCGTGTGCAACCTCATTGGATTGATGGGCCTTCGCGGTATTTCCATCCTCGAGTCATCCGGCGACGAGGGTGTTGGTGCCTCTTGTCTCGCTACCAACAGCACCACCACTCCCCAGTTTAACCCCATCTTCCCGGTATGTTCTAATCTACAATGTCTCGGAAGACACCAGCTAACAAAGCTTTCTTCTAGGCCACATGCCCCTATGTCACCGCTATTGGTGGAACCGTCAGCTTCAACCCCGAGGTTGCTTGGGAGGGCTCATCCGGCGGCTTCAGCTACTTCTTCAAAAGACCCTGGTACCAGGAGTCTGCAGTTGGCACATACCTTGACAAGTATGTCAGCAAGGAGACTAAGCAATACTACAAGTCCTATGTCGACTTTTCCGGACGTGGCTTCCCCGATGTTGCCGCTCACAGCGTGAGCCCCGAGTAAGTTTCATCCTCCGTTGTCTTATTTTTTGAAGACTTTGTGTTGTCTTGATCGGCCACTGACAAATTGTACAGTTACCCCGTCTTCCAAGGCGGCGAGCTTACCCCCAGCGGCGGTACTTCCGCGGCCTCTCCCATCGTGGCCAGTGTTATTGCCCTCCTGAACGATGCCCGTCTCCGTGAAGGCAAGCCTGCTCTCGGATTCTTGAACCCTCTGATTTACGGATATGCCTACAAGGGCTTTACCGATATCACGAGTGGCCAAGCTGTCGGCTGTAACGGCAACAACACTCAGTCTGGAGGCCCTCTTCCTGGTGTAAGTAAAATTTCTCTAGATCAGATTTGTTCGTGAGTATCAAAGCTAACTTTCTCTAGGCGGGTGTTATTCCTGGAGCTTTCTGGAACGCGACCAAGGGCTGGGATCCTACGACTGGATTCGGTGTCCCCAACTTCAAGAAGCTGCTCGAGCTTGTCCGATACATTTAGATATCCATTGTAATACATATAATTGGGCATGGTAAATACTTCTAATTAAGACAATATACACGCAGTAAATATGTATATGTATATTGGAGTACCTACGTCCAAGCCGCGTATAAGTTGACTGGCGCTGACAAAGCTATATGGAATGCTTACTCTGAGCCGAATTTTAAAGTCCCTAGCATCTATGCTGTCCGCTAGGAAAGCACGCTCAATCTATCTAGTATTTACCTATGTGCTTCATTGTAACCATATCAGATGAAAATAGCTCCTAATGCCCTATTTTGGATAAGCGAGATCCGGTTCATGGCGAGTGGCTTCCATTTGTTGATGAAGTAATTGGCAGTCTATTACTGCTATTGCTGCTATTGCTGCTATTGCTACTACTGCTACTAAGTACATAGTGGAGATTGGTACGAATGAGCCGGTTCTCGATTGTCCAGCAATGGATGATATCCATGGTAGGAGGTAGACCGAGAGCACCAATTGGCCTTGTTTCATTAAGAACCGAATGCTCAGGCGCTCCAGTTGGAGTGGAAACCAGTCCATTTCTCTTTGTCTGTGTATGTGTTCCCAAGCAATTTCGCAGAAAACGGTTCCCGTGTCAGCAAATTCTGTCCGTCAAAATCTCGTCCAGGCCGTGTCTCTCCTTTTTCCTTTCTTTCTTTGTGTTTTCGATTCGAATTCCGTCTCATTCCATGTTATCTTAGTAGTCCTTCCGAGTGTCTGATTTATTGATCGACTTCGTCTGCGGACTCATCATCGTCAAGGTTGGGGGCGAAGCTTGGTGCCTTGCATAGAGAAGCGTGAATCGGCGGCGATAAGATGCTGTGAAACTTGCTTACGGGCGGCAAATTCAATGTCAAGCTCCACGTCAATATATGTCGAGGTTCCACGTTATCGAGGACAATGTCAATATGTCCGTTGGCATTAATATCGAGCTCCACGTTAAATCCAGTGGGGCGATCGCCTCTAAGTGTTCCCACAGTAAAACCGCCAATGAATGCATGGTTCACATTATGAGCGTCAAGAATAGATGACATGGCACTGGCGGCCAATTCTTGAGCGTCTTTTCGATGAATGGTGGGCATATTGGCGGTGGTGATGGAGTGTGATGTGTGAGAGAGAGAAAAGTTTGGAAGAGTGGAACTGTGATTAGAGCTATTTATCACAAAGAGTAAGCTGTCGTGAAAGAAAAAAGAAAAAGGAGCGAAGTGAAGTTGGCTTAATTCGTCTTATAAGGTACCTAGCTGGCAGCAGCAGTAGCAGCAGTAGTGCCTAAAATAAATTTGGGCTACTCATAAGATGTGGTTGCTTGAGTCGAAGCTGGAGAGGCTTTGGCTTTGCATTCTTACCGGCAGAGGGAAGGACATGTTTGCGTCAGTAACCCACAGCCTCGCTCGTGGCTTTGTATTTATGTCGGTAGCTGGCTGTACTTCTTCTTGTATCAGTTGTGCAGGGTTTCCGCAACTCTGAAGCCCAGTGCTGGGTTTTCAGTCATTTTGCGTTAGCTTATGGCATGTCGTTGTTTTGCTTTCATCAAACATGTGGTCTGTGGGTGGTCTCTTGTTTGCACTGGCATGAGAGGTCGCATTTGGTCTGAGGTAAGCAAGGGTCTCGGTTTGAGGTGGATGCATTGTTGCCGACAGAGATATGTTTGGAGATCGATCTCTCCTTGGGGGTAAAAGGCACAGACGCGAAGACTAAAATTCATTGGGCAAATCTACCGACAGCCTTCTTTGAGAACTCGAATCTCGTGTTTCCTCCCGAGCAGTCTGCTCTGATGTCTCGATTTGTGGACGACTATCGCTGTTCCATTCATTTCATGGCATTTTTAGCTAGTGCTGCCTTTGGTTAGTATTATTATATGGGAAGATTGGAATCAGTGGCTAGCTCAAATTAACTTACTCATGATGGGCGCCGGTGTCTAAGAACAAAGCAAGGATGGAGTAACAGTATATAGCAAGTAGTAAGTCTCTAAACCTTGGAGTCATCTTTCCAAGGTAATTGGTTTCCGACCATGGTACAAGAAGCAATCTTGATGAGATTTTCCCTAATCCATTCCTCCCCATCTCTCATTTCCCAAGACTTAATCGTGGTGACCGCATTCTCAATCTCATGAGGTTGAACTTTTGACCACGGCACCTTATTCCAAAACAAAAACATATACTCGTAACCTCCTCCACAGCTTGCATGATAAAAGTTGTAGGCAATAAGATTAATCAAATCCGTAAACAGCCGTTCACGAAAAGAGCTTGTTCGTGTTTCAGCGCAAATAATACGTACCCAGGCAGTACAAGCTGCCGCAAGAGGTACTCTCCAGATGTTCCAAGTGTACCCTGGCAGCCGCGAGTACCGCATCTCTTGTAATTCGAGATCGTTCAAGTGCAGTCCCGGGCAGGACAAGGGTAAGAGAACAAGCCTCTCGAAGCGGTCATGCCCATAGGTATTTCTCCTTTTGGGTTCGATATTGTACATCACACATAAGCCCGAGAAGTCGGACGGGTAGGCGATTCTCAGAGGCTCGGGAATATCTGGACAGTACTCCAAAGAGGCCGCAACCTGGTAAGCATCATATAATTGTTCGTCAGGGACTAAGAAAAATAGGCTCTGGTGCATATTAGAAAAGCAACAACGCTCAAGAAAAGGAGATTGCTTACTCCATCTGTCACGATAGGAACACGCAGTCGGCCTAGGAGCTGCTGATCCCACTCCACAAGGTCAATCTGTGCCGCCACAAGTTGGTCGAGTAAGACTGGCATTCGTTCTCGTTCACTTGTCATTTTGGTTTGATATGATCAAGAGTAGAGAATATTGACGCCACGGCAGTGTTTGGGTATTAAAAGAAGATGGATATGAAGAATTTGCTTCTCAGTGGTTGTGATGAGGGAGGTCACGATATGATGAGCCTGCCCAGCAACGGGGAGATAGAGTTTTGGTTATGCGTATGTAAGCTACATGTATATATAGGTAGGTAGGAAGCCATACACTCATTTTTTTGGCTGTATTATGATATTTAAAGAGGAACAAAAAAGTTACTACCTAGTCAGGTGCTATTACTGCTGCTGATGCTACTCCTAACTACTTTCAACTCTAGTCAACATGTAGAACCTTGTCGCGACAACCAGGGCTCGAAGTCAGACTGTAGGATAATTGTGAAAGATTAGAGTGTTGAGATGTGGGCTTCAGAGTGCTATAACTTATATTTAACGGAATAATACATGGGGGGATCTTGGCGGGAAGCACGGGCCCAGTGGAGGTTGACTGCTTTCTATTTGATGCTTCAATATTTAGTAGGATTTTAGTGGAATGTTTTATTATCAAGATGTTAATGATCATAGGTGTGGAGCCGGCTAGGTACATGACGATGCCAGTACAATCAGTTGTGTGCTGCAAACTTGGGCTTGATATTTTGTTCAGGCACGGTGACTGGAACTTTCGTGTTGCTGGATCGAGGCTAGCAAAGCCATTGAGTACGTAGACTTTCCGTTGCCAGTTGGTCCGGACTTTTAATGTGCGTTGGCCTGGCGTAGAGTTTGTTGTTGCGGCCCCTTTATAGCCAGAACCAGCGGGTACGGAATATATGCCTCTCCCGAGAAGGTTTAAAAATCACACATCAGTAGTGGCGCTCCAGCAAAAGCCTTTTTGCATGCAGTACACAGATCAATGATAATGTCCTTGATTTATTTTGTCTGCCTCGGCACTGTTTCGCTCACCACCTCATCCGCCTCGACAAGAAAACCATCATGGAGCCAACACGGACCAAGGTTATCTACTTTGATCTGGACGGCACACTGTTCGATCACGACCATTCGCTACGACAGGCGATATCAGCCATACACAAGAAATACAGTGCCCCCACGGAGAAGACTATCGAAGGAAATAGTACGACGATTCTCTTCAACAAGCCTATGATTCAGACCTGAACAACGTGATTACCCACGAAGAGGCCGACACTCGGAAGATTCACCTAATCTTTAGGTCGCTTGGCCTGCCCAAACCCAGCCTTGACGAGGTCCAGCAGGTCCGTGACGCGTACAGGGCACTTTACAGAGCGAATCGGAGACCTACGGCGGGAAGTGTCGAGACATTGGTCCGCCTACGTGAGCGTGGGTATCGCATCGGCATCATCACCAACGGACAGATCCAGGGTCAGACGGAAAAGGCCAAGGCCATCGGCATACTGCATCTGACTGACCGAATCATCACATCCGAGGAGGCTGGGCATCGAAAGCCTGATCGCCGTATCTTCCAATACGCCATAGAACAGCTCGGCACCAATCCTTAAGAAAAGACATATATGATAGGCGATTCTGTCGACTCCGACATCAAGGGAGCGTGGGATGCGCAGCTGGCCCCCATCATGTACTCCCCTACGGCCCAATACTCCCAAAATTTTCTGTTCGGGCAGCAAATACCCGTAATCAATCACATGGCTCAGCTCTTAGTCTACTTTGGCATCGCCAGCCCCCAAATCAAGCCGCGATTTGTCTCTGCTCCGAGAAAATTGGTGATTGAGGGCATCGGTATTGACATGGTCACGGAACCACAACGCTCTCTACACATGTCCACAGGAGAGGTGCAATTTCTTGTCAAAAGCATGGGCATTGTGCTTGATTGTGTTGGCCATATATACCGTAGACAGGCCGTATTTCAGATACGGCGCATGATTCGGGCGATTACGAAGGCGGCAGGCACCAATGACGAGAAAACAACTCAGAAATAGGATGGCCGAGGGCTGAGTGTGATAGAAACAGGCACGCACGATTGCCTCGTCACTGTGAGAGACCACAGCACGCGCGTAGAATACGTGCGACTCACTCTATATACTGCTTCGGAGGACGAGTCCACATTACGAGAATTGTATCCATCCTACAGGAACACTGTAACGATCTAATGAAAGATGATCCAAGTGCCGCAGTCCACCTACTTGACGGCGCCATACAGATCTTGGCTGAGCAAGAGGGCATGAATACAATTGTTTTTGGCAAGCAGTATCGCAATAACAGCTTCTAGTACGACATGGTGCGATCCGACTCGGAAAGAACGAGTTTTTACATACGCGACCACCGCTAATATAATATATATATCGCTATGAGAAGATGAACTATTACATATACCCAGGCCCCATGTCTTTCCACAGACAGCAGGGGCAATCCTTTGTATTTATTTTCCCGGAATTTCTCCTAGGCGAAAGTTTGGTTTTAAACACCGAACATATGCTCGCTCAAAGAGATTGAATCCAGGGAGGTTCTGAGAATATATCAATTATGCAAGAAGTGGTAGGTTTCATCATCGAAGGCTGTCGCGCAGACTAAGCCAGACTGTAATAGTAATACAAATCTCTATACCTTTTGTTGAAGGAGTGGAAAATGCTCGACACTATCATACCAATGTGACCCTACTCTCTCTTACCACCGGGTTCAAATGCTTCTTCGGACTCGGCCATAGTGGCTCGACTGCGCAGTTTTTGTCAACGGCGTTACTGTCAGCCGCTGCCCTTTGACCTACTATCGCTCGAAGTCGCAGCAGCAAGCCAATGGGGTGATTTCACGAAGTTGCCGATGGATTTGTAGAGAAAGATGGGTGCAGCAATTTCGGTTGGTCATTTTTGGGCAGTGTCTCCGACCCCGCATGTGACGGCATAACTGCATGGAGCGTAAATAACTTGCGTACGACGTCCCTTTGATGCTGTGCTGTCTTTATCATCATGCCGTTAACTAACAGCGATTTTCCTTCAAGGTTTCCACTACATCATGACTAAAACACAGCATGGCTATAGCGCCAATGAGCCTCAGCTTGAGGAAACGCTGCCCTCGCTAAGCCGGCCGGGTATTTTGACGGTGATTCTTCATGAGGGGGCTGGCCTCTCCGTGCCGGATGGATTCGAAGAGAGCCCCGATGAAGAGCGAAATAAGCGCAACATACCATATGCCATCTTGACCTTTGACAAATCGCAAAAGAAGGCTAACTCCCGCTGGGGGAATAGACAAAATCCCATATGGGATTCAGACACTGGAGTGCTGTATCGCCCATTACACTGGAATGCTGACTTCGGGGTACCACGCAAATCGAGTTGGAACTTTGATGTTTGCCGCCCTGCTGAGTTGGCCATCTATCTCTACCTCGGAGACCCTTATACATCCTCTTCTATACAAGGCCATGCTTTCCTTGGAGTGGCACGGATCGTAATAGATCCCTCTCAAATAGCAGCAGCCTCGTCGCAATGGATTGGCGTGCAGTATGGCACTGGCCAGCTTCGCATTAGCCTCGAATACGAGGATATGAAAGACCGGACCCTGGAAAGAGCCGACTTTCAAGTCGACTATATTATGGAGCTGCTAAATATACATACGTGGCAACTATATACTACGAGGACGATTCCAATGGTTCAACGCCTCCAGAATGTCAATCATCCATTCATTGCACCACTGACGCTGACTTTTCAGTCGCAAGAAAACTTAGACCGCACCACTGACGCTGACTTCCCAGTCGAAGAATGTCTGAACCTTTTATCTCCAGCCATAGATGGTGGGCATCTCTTTTACCATCTTCAGAGGCAGCAGCGTTTCAATCTCGAGAGCGCTCAATTTTACGCCGCTGAGATTCTGTGCGCGTTGGAATATCTGCACGAGACCCGCGGCATCTACTCCTGGTTGAAGCCTCGACATGTCCTTCTAGACTGCTTTGGGCACGTCGTTCTCTATGGCTCTAGTCTTTATAAACCAGCGGTTGACGGCGACCGCAGCAGCTACGGGATTCCAGAATACCCAAGCCCCGAAGTGCTCCTAAATAATCGTCATTTTAAAGCGGCAGATTGGTGGACACTAGGGATTTTTCTCTACGAGATGTTGACAGGATTACCGCTTTTCTTTGACGAGAATCCCGAAGAGATACGTCTCAGGATACTCAGCACTGATCCCATCCAAATATCTGAAGCCCTTCCTCAAAACGCCAGAGACATCATTATGAGGCTCCTCGAACGAGAGCCTGATCTTCGTCTAGGAGCTAAAGGAGGAGCATCCGAAGTTAGAGAACACCCATTTTTCGCTGGAATTGATTGGTCAGAGCTCTTCCGACGGAATCTTGAACCTCCTTTCAAGCCAAAATTCACTTTCAGACGTTTTGAACAGCATGGGGTACAAGAGTATCCCCAGAAGGACCTCCCGAAGGAGAAAGGCGACACGCTCTGTAAAGATCTCGAACCGGAGAGCAACTTGGCTTTTGATAATGACGATAACGCTGTTCTGACACCAGTGTCTAGCCAGGAGGGGTCCGATCAAGAGGCCGATGATGAGAATGATGACGGTTGGGAGCTTGTGTGGGAAGAGGGTGCTCCTGGGGAGCTCTATTTCCGCCATCGCACTACAGGGGAAGAAAAGTTTATTCTGGCAAGACGTGTTCGCCCGTCACAGAAGAATAAAAATAACGTTGATGCTACCAATGCTACCGATGCTGAATTACGCAATGGCGGTCCCAGCACAAGCAAGAAGCTGGATGCACTCGAGGCAGCGTTGAATGCGGGGCATGACCGCATTGTCTCACAATTAATATCATATGGCATAGACTTAAATGTCCGCCTCTTTGATTCTGAGTTAGAAAGTCCCCTGGGATGGTCAATAGACCATAAGAAGCTACATTTGGTGCGGCTTTTGCTTGACAACGGTGCAGACATTGGATTTCTGGACCGTGAATTCGAGCGCCAAGACGGGCCAGCGTTAACGAGGGCCGTGGCAGCAAGAGATCGGAAACTCATTGAGTTCCTATTGCAGAGGCGCCCAAGCCGGGTGGACTTGACGAGAGCCCTGGGGCGAGCCGTTGATCAACGGGATAGGGGTCTAGCGCAACTGCTCCTGGCAAATGGCGCCCGGTGTGAGTTTGAAGAGGAAGACCGGCCTTCACCTCTCAATCCCGGACCATACGGTGGCTGTTATGGTGGTGTATCCCTGGATGGAGAATTCATTCCCCCGCTTTTTCGAGCCGTTAAGATAGGCGATGTCAGCCTGGTGCGGCTACTGCTTAGGAACGGAGCGAACGCCAATATCGGATACCATGATCTCATTCACGATCTTGGGCCAGGCCATATCAAATTTAGGTGCGGGAGGGTAATTCAAGTAGCCATGGAGCTGAAGAGACATGAAACGATCAAGCTATTGCTTGCCGCCGGCGCAGATATTAGTCTCGCACAGCCAGTCTGGTGTGTACCAGGCCATATATGCCAAGAGGTAACGAGGGTTTTCTACCAGACCACGATGAGCAGGTTGAGAAAAGTAGTGGAATCAGAAAACATATAGATTGACCAGCGTATAATGTCAGAGAAAAGGGGTTAGCTGCGTCCGACGGAGTCAAGATTCAGGGGTATTAAAGGAGCAGAAGGCTCCTCTGAATGAGCAGATGGTTGATATTTGGTAGATCAAATCTTAGAATCTGTGGAATTATGGCAGTATTGCAATTATTATCCAATCGAACAGTTATCAAAAACAAGTTCATCTTTAGAGCATACCGAACAGGATCTTACATTAATTACTGCGTAAGCTTTTCCCCTTGATGCAGTAGTGGCACTCGACCCCTTAAAAAAAGATTAAGACTCGCAAGGCGCGCCCTATCTATTTATTTGAGAATCGCTCGCTGGAATTTTGAGCTGATTTTGTTTTCCCGAGGCTATAATTCATGCGTTATTCACAGACATTTCTGCTGTATCAGACCCTGAAATTTGCTGAAGTGGTTTATTCTATGGCTAAGTCGCATCCATGGGGTACACATCTGGAGACTTCGACTTAACTCAAAAGCAATAGTCGTTCAAGTCTAAGCATAATCGTGCATTAGTCTCTGTAGCTCACACGTAACGGTCATTCTGTAAATCCTCCGATTTTCTCCGGAGAGACTAAATCTTGCCTTTGGCTGGCCTGGCTTTGCTCCGTGTCCACGGCAGCGATCACGACAGAGCTCTCCACCGCCAGAACATGGAGGCGTTTGCCGCTGTGTAATAGTAATAGGCGCTTAGTGCTGAGTGCATGGATCTAGGTATTACTACAAGGTATTACCACATGAATTGCTAGGATGCTATCCTGTTAGTTCAACTTTAGTTTTACCATACACGTATCCAAAACTTTGGAGAATGAGGGGCGATTGGTACGAATAGATTGCAGTACCTGCTAGGCTTCTTCAGAGCTGGGCAGCTTTGGTATCATGAGAGTCTGAAGGAGGCCATGTAAACTCTATCTATAGATAGTGAATGGTTACCTTGTGACTGACGATGAACGTTGAAACAACACATTGGATAGGGGAGTATAACAGACGGGCTTTTCATTCCAATGTCTATTTTTATGCCACTGTTGCTTTATTTGATTGGGTAAGTACACAATGGACCACTAAGCTCGAGTCTAAAGCCGGAGGCAAAACCCCTTCACAAGTTTATCATAGCAAAGAATTGAAGGCTGTGAAACCGGAGAAGCAAGCAGGGCCCAGACTGTGCGACGGCCAGAGCGGCGGCGGCCTACGCAACTACTATTGAAGCGCTACTGATTTAGCAACAAGATAATTTGGCAAAGCCAATAGATGGTCCTTTAGATGAAGCCAATTTCTTTCTGCCATTCGCGGTAATTAGAGCGAGTAGACAAGGCTTTCGGAGAACGGGCATCACCGCCATTTGAACTTTGACCTGGATCGAGCCATGGCCTGAAACAACAACAGCTTCCAACTGAAGCCACAGGCTGGTCTGGTATCTATGAGATCTACAGATCTAATGAGACATGATTAGGTAGAACAAAACATCCTCAAGCCCACGTGGCGTGGCTGAGGCGAGCGCAACTTAGTTTGGTAGAGGAGCTTTGGGCAGCCTCTGGGTTGTCGCCAACCGCCACATTATCCACATATGATGCTGTGTTTTGCTGCTCTGCTGATAACAGATAACACAAATTGTTTTTCGTACAATCATCAAAATTGACCGAATTTAGACGAACAGCCGCTGATATGCGGCAACGCCGAGCTCAGTCAAGGGGGAGTTTAGTGGCATCCGTCGTCGACTGTGGATGTTGTTGGCGCCCTTTGGCCATTTTGCTGTGCGTTCCCGTCGGTCAAGCAGTGTTGGCGTGCTCCCCGAATGTGTATTTTAGATGCCCTGAGCGTAACTGCATGGATCTCACAGTGCATGTCTCCGTCCTCAGGTATGCAGTGAATATTGAGTGTATCTATTTTGAGCTGCTCCAAATGTTGAGGCGGCCGGATTATTCAGCGTTGAATCAGCCAAATACACGACAGAATGCAGCAAACAAGGCGACACGGCTCAAAATTGGTGCCGAGGGAGGGCTGCCACGGACTGGATTGGACTGGACGTTAGCCGGATATACGGGCGGACCGCTATTGCTCCCACGCAGCGCGATAAGTCATCAAGTTTCTGGTTCCAGACTCGGTTGAGCAATGGCCGAGTCTGTCGGCAAATGGTCGACGAAGATCTCCCCGCTTCTTGGCTCGAGCCGGCGTCTCTGAGATGGAGCTGGAGGCGCTTTAACAGCCGCTTAGCCTCTGGCTAGACAACGTGGTGGCGAGGCCAATGACTTGTGCGCTCCCGCAGCTAAAGAAACGAGAGTTAAGCTTGAAGACAGCCACCCGTCACGGGCGGTACTTGGGGCTTGTAGCGCCTGGTGCGTGCTGTTTTCTCAGCGCCTGGGCAATTCTGACAGCGCTGGCCGGCTATCGCAAACACAAACGCCGCGGGGATTACCACAGCCGCCGATTCTTTTGGCATTTCAAAGCAGACGATGAAGAAAAGAAGATTCGAATCATGCAGACTGCGGCTGACTCGTTTCGACTATGCACGGCAACCATGGAGACTCGTCTGCATTCAATCGGCTCACCTTTGAAGCATAGCTGCGAAATAGGCCTGCGAAGCACGCAGCATGCAGCAGCGGCCGAACCTCGCATGCCCACACGCGTATCTGCAGCCTCTTGCTTAGGCGGCCCTCGGACATATTTCATCTTTGTGCGCCTTTGTTCCGTCCCATGAGATTTGCCTGCAGCCATCCAACAGACAGGCGGGAGCGCGGGCAGAACGTGGCATGAAAAGGTCGCACACGAATTTAGGGGCAGCCGTCTAGGCCAATCTAAGCACGAGAGGCCGTCACTGCTCGGTAACGAGTCTGCAGGAAGCTCACCAGCAGAGACCGTCTCATTTACTGACTTTCATGGATGAACAGATACCGTTAGCGTGGTAGGCCATCGCTTATCTTGGCAGAGACGACAACGTGGGGGGAAGCGTAGCGGCTTTTACCAGGCTTGGATGGATCTGTACCTACCTTGGGTACCCAAGCTTCGCTTCTCAACAGCCAAAGAAGGCGAAGAAGTCATGTTGCTTGTATTCTTTTTGTTGACCTGTAGCTTCTCGCGGCTCTTCTCATCGTTGTGGTACCGTGACATGAGCCAGATTCCCGTTCCCGATCATCGACCTCGGGTGCCCCGGGAGCAAATTACTCAACAAAGCAAGCAGCAGGCCATCTCAGCTGCTCTGGACATCTGTAGTAGCCTCTTTTCTGGCCTTGAGATATGACGGCTGCGCATGAATCGCGCACAAGGCTTGTGTGAAGAAGCTCCCTGGCAACTAGTGCTTGCAACACCGCCCGTTGAAGCCATCTTTCGGACCGTCCATGCGCTGATTGGGCGCTGAGGTGAAGCCAGTTCCTCGTCCATGCTTTCACTAGGGCCAGGCACATCACGACTCGCTCCGACAGCCGCTAGTTCTGAGCCTGATGCAACGAATCTTCCAAGGCTTCCGAGCTACAGCGCAACTAGCCAAGGCTCGGATATCAAACCTACTTGTTTACATTTGGGCAAACACTCCGCACAGATCTTTAGCTGCTCTCTCCTAGGAATAACTGACGGTATGCTCTTTGTGCGGTGTACAAAGTACCGACATCTACAGCGCTGAAAATAGCCGGGTTACATCGCCTGTGCGCAGAGAACAGCGCCCAAAGCTTCGCACGGTTGAGAAACATTCTAGTTCTTCGATTTGGGACAACCAAAGAAGCCAGCCTCTTATCGGTGTATATTTCCTTTTCGAAGCGTATTCCTTTGTCTTCTCTACCCCATCCCAGAAAACCTTAGGCGCCACTTCCCCTCGTCCGCGCCGTCTCCACGTTCTCTGCTCCATGCGAAGACTGAGAGGGACAGCCAAGGGTGGAAGAGTGGAGAGAGCTGGCGTCGGCTAGGAACCCCACAAGCATACCGTAGGCAGATGCTAAAGCCTAGTCTGAAGACCAGGATGCACATCAAGTTGGGGTCAATGCGGAGGTGATGGAGAACAGCCGACGACGACCTATGACGAGGAGCGCCTTGGTAAGAAGAAGGTCTTGGCAGTCCTCCTTTTCTCGTTGATTGACCCGGTTATCCACCAGTTGGTGGTGAGAGCAAATGCTGCTATTGGAAATAAGGCGCACAGAGGGACAGATTCGGAAGAGGCACTCACAAATGCCATAGCAAGGCGGCTTGACCGACACCAATACTCCACGCCGTGAGCACTGTCCAGCTCCGAGCACCATAGTTTGATTACAAGCAGCAAGATACGGATTGGCAGGCAGAGCGGTACGGTACACATGGCTGTAATTTCCGACAGCTCTTTGTCCAAACCAACAAGCAATATCTACGATATAAATGAACTTCCACATGCCGGCGCACGGTGCAAGCCAAATACAACGCCACCCAGAGCTCCTTTCATGTCCCGAATTGGCCCGCCGTCACAATGAGAGATAGGACCAAAATACTACGACGCCTTCCAAGCTCCCCCTGTCATAGCCATGCTTGTACGGGGCAGCACTCCGCACGTCCTATCATCCTTCTCCAGCATTCACTTACTCGCGCATCCTTGAGCTAAACTTCTGGGCCTTTCTCCCCGCATCGCTATCCCTGCCTAGTTCTTTGTTTTGGGTCATTTTTGGTTGTCGTCGTCACACCCACCCAGCCTTTCCTTGCACCTGGCTAACCCAGCCTTGCCTCAATTAGCTTATTATTGCATCTTGCAGTCATCTTGACCCTTGATTCAGGCTTTCCATCTCCAATTTTGCGGATCCTGGTCATGTACGTGCCAGGCGAATAGACCCAGGACCTATATATCCACATGCCTGCCAGTACACGAACGCCTTGTCTTCCGACATTCCTCATCTTTTCGTCCCTCTCTCCGGACCAGTCCATGTCAGTCTGAGAGAATATTCTATTTCTGGTCTGCCTCCTTTTTGGTATAAATCGCTTAGCAGGCCCAGACACCCGGTGGTTGCCGCCCGTCTGTCTAAGACTCGGATCAGCA